TGAGACTGGATGTGGCACTTAGTGCCATGGTCTAGTGACCACGGTAGGGTTGGTTGGACCTGATGATCTTGGAGGTCTTTTCCAACCTGATTGATTCTATGGTTCTCTGAGGTGGATTCAGTGGAGAAACAGTGATGGTTAATGCCGCACTAATTGTGTACAGTAGAACAAACCCAATGCAACCTCCGCTCTGTCCACTAGATGGTGGAGCTGCACTGCAGAGAGATCAGGAATTACAGTCCATCCGCAGGCAATTCTACTCCCTCTTACTATATTGTATGTTTAGTAGGGAAAAGTGCTATAATCAATGATACACCGTGATTGGATTTAGAAAAATAGTTGAAAATGTAATTTTCTTTCTGCTGCTTCCAGTGAAACTTGAAGTTTTGTAGTCTTTTATCTTCTCACAGTTCTATTGTGCTCCATCCCTGGGAGTGTTCCAGGCCAGGCTGGATGGGACTTGGAGCAGCCTGGGCTGGTGGGAGGGGTCCTTGTCCATGGCAAGGGGTGGAACTGGATGATCTTTAAGGTCCTTCCAACCCAAACGATTCTATGATTCCATGATGCCATAGCTGGGCTGGAGAAAGAGTCAGATGCACTGGATGTGCTATTTCAGTCTCTCCCTCCTGCTGGGGCTGCTCTGGCAGGAGATGCCAGTGGCACTTTGGGTCTTCTGACCCTTGGCAGGCAATGCTGAGAGACCAGGGGACTCTCAGCATGAGGCTGGTGCCGTGCCCGTTTGTACCACCCTGCCTGGGCTGGCATCCAGAGCCTGTAATGCCCATTTGTACCACTCTGCCTGGGCTGGCATCCAGAGCCTGTATCCCTGTGCAAGCAATTGCCAGGGAATTTGTGTGTCCTTCCCATGAGATGAACTTTGCATTGCTTGGTGTGTGGGGGTTGATCTGCAGAGGATGTTGGCCAGAGACCAGGAAGGACCATGCCGTCCCAGGGTGACTCACACTGCTCTGAACTGTCCCTGATGAGTACTTAGATGTCCCACTCCTGGCTCAGGAGTGTGAAAACACTGTGCAGGTCATGGGAGACTCCTAAAGGGCTTCTAGGAGTGCAGTGTGGATTGGGCTGTGGAGGTGGAAGGGGAAAGGTGAGCTAGGACAGAAGGAGTGGAGTGGTCCCCACAGAAAGAGGATGTTTTGTACACTAGTAACGTGTATCCTCT